TTAGGGTAAAAAACTGATATCATTAATACTTTCATTAACAAACAGGAGAAAGAACAGAACAACAGATTGGGCATACAAGTAAAAACAACGACAGCAAGTTAAAAGCCACAGACTTTGAAATAGAAATCCTGAAAATTAAGGAAAATATTAACAAAATTTAAAACAAAAAAACCTTTGAAATAAAAAATAAGTAGGAGTTGATTTGGGGGAAAAACCCATGAGTCAATTTGATGAAAAAGAATAAAAAGAGAAACTAAATTATCAGTATCAAGAATTTTAAAAATTCACAAGAAATAAAGAAAGAAAAAAGATTATTAGGAACTACTTTAGAGGTGAAAGAAAGGAAAAGCAGGAAGGAAAGGGAATAAGCATTTATATACCACCTGTAGCATACCAGCTGGGCAGCTACGTGGCCCAGTAGGTAGAGTGCTGGGCCTGGACTCAGGAAGACCTGAGTTCAAATGAGGCCTCAGACACGTATTAGCTGTATGACTCTGGACAAGTCATTTAAATCCATTTGCTTGTTTCCTCATCTGTAAAATGAGCTGGAGAAGGAAATGGCAAACCACTCCAGCATCTCTGCCAAGAAAACCCCAGATGGCGTCATGGAGAATCGGGTGTGACTAAATGACTGAACAATAACAACAAACACTATATGCTGAGTGCTTTTACAGATATCTTATTTTGCCCAATTATATGCCAATAAACCCAACAACTTAAATGAAATCAATGAAGATTTACAAAAATATTTTTTAAAATACCCAAGTTAACCAAACAAGAAATAGAGAATTTCAAACAATCCAATGAGAAGAAATTGAATAAGCTATTATTGAACATCTAAAGGAAAAAAAAACAAACAAACCCTAGGACCAGATGGATTCCCAAGTGAATTCTACAAAACGTTTAAAGAACAAGTAATTTCTTACATACATTGTTTGCAAAAATAGCAAAAGAATGGATCCTACGATAAACCATAAACTGGGGAGAATCAAGACAGAAAAAGAAATCAACATTAGGGATCAATATCCCTAAGTAATATTGGTGAAAAAATCTGTAATAAAATATTAGCAAAAAGGCTAAAACGATGTGTCACCAAGATTATATACTATGACCAAGTTGAATTTATGCCATGAATGCAGGGTTGATTTAATATTAGGAAAACTATAAATAACTAACAATAATCATGTGGTGCTTATCAACAGATGCAGAAAATCTTTTGATAAAATATAATAGTCATTTCCTTTAAAAACACTAGAAAGCATAGGAATGAATGGTACTCTCCTTAAAATGATAAATAGTATATATCTAAAACAAATATGCAATGGAAATTAACTAGAATAATTTCTAATAAAATCAGGGGTGAAACAACGATGTTCATTGCCCCAATTTCTATTTGACATAGTACTAAAAATGCTGGTTATAGCAATGAGATAAGAAAAAGAAATCGAAGGAATAAGCATGTAAAGAAGGAATGAAAAAAAAATCTAAAATGGAAAAAAAAAGCATTTTTTGTAAATGATACGATGGTGTCTTTTAAGAACAGTAGAGAGTGAACTAAAAATTAATTGAAACAATAACTTCAGCAAATTTGCAGAATATAAAATAAATCCATACAAATGATTAGCCATTTCTATACAATACCAATAAAACTAAGCAGGAAGTGACAAAAAGAGAAATTTCATTTAAAGTAACTACAGAATGTATAAAATACTTGAGAGTTTACTTACCAAGATAAACACAAGAACTATACAAAGAGCTATAAACCACTATTCACAAAAATAAAGACAGACCTAAATAATTGCAGAAGTATTCACTGCTAATGGGTAAGATGAGTCAATATGATAAAATGTCAGTACTTAAATTATTTGTTCAACGTCATACCAACTGTAGTACCAAAGGATTGCTTTATAAAACTACAAAAAAAATAATGAAATTCATATGGAGGTTAAAAAATCATCAAGACCTTCAAGAGAAAGAAACAGAAAAAGTGGGAATGAAGGGGAACTGGCAGTACCATACCTCAAACTATACTACGGTACAGTCATTCTCAAAAGCAAGTTTTATGCTGGTGAAAAAAGAGATGGCTCATTAGAGCAGATTAAGTACACAACATTCAGAAGCAAACAAACCTGAAAGGGTTTGATAAACACAATGAGTCCAGCTACTTGGATAAGGACTTCTTACTATTTGGAAAAAAAAATGCTGGGAAAATTGGACATCAGTATGGAAGAAATTAGATTTAAATTAACACCTCACACTTTATATCTACATGGATGTGACCTAAATATAAAAGATCACATCCTAAACAAATTAGAGAAATGTGTGTGTGGGGAGATTACCTATCAGATATGTAGACAGAAGAAGAATTCCTATGTAAACAAAAGATAGAGGATCTAGGAAGGGAAAAAAAAGGATAATTTTGATAACATAAAACATAAAATTTTTTGCACAGACAAATCCAACAAAGTTAAGATTAAAAGGGAAACAAATATTTGGGGAAAAAATCTTTATAGCAAGTTTCTCTGATAAAAGTCTCTTTTCCAGAGAACTGAGTCAAATTTATAAGAATAAGAGCCATTCTCCAATTGATTGTCTAAGGATATGAATAGGCAGTCTGCAAAGAAAGAAACCCAGGATTTTTAGCCATATTAAAAAATGTTCTAAATTACTAATTGAGAAATGCATTTCTGAGGTTTGACCTCACACCAATCAGACTGGTAAAACTGATTTTTTAAAAAATGGCTAATTTTGTTTAAGGGTTTGCGGTAAAAACAGGTACATTGCTACACCTGTTGGTAGAGTTTTGAATTAGGTCCAACCATTACGAAAAGAAATTTGGAATTCTACAGAAGAAGTTACTGAACAGTGCATGCCCCTTGATTCAGTGATGCCATCGCTAGGCCAATAGCCAAAAGATAATCAGAGAAAGATGAAAAGGTTTTATATGTACAAACACATTTGTAACATCTTTTTGTTGCGGCAAAGAATGGGAATGAGTTGTGGTACATGAATGTGATGGAATACTATTGTGCTGTAAGAAATAAGCAAACAGATGCCTTCAAAGAGATATGAGAAGACTTGTATCAACTGATGCAGAGTGAAGTAAACGGGAGAACAATGTCTACCGTAACATCAATATTGCTCGATACTGACCCCCGAAGACTAGGTTATGTTCCATTTGAACACTCCCCCCAGAGTTCGGTGGTCCTCTTAAAAGGAATTGGGAGGGTCTAGGTTCTCTGCAAGTGGTTCTGATGAGGTTTCCTCAAGTATTGGGCATAGTGTCCTCCACCCCAGTTCTAATTAGCAACTAAGTCAGACTGCCGTTTACAAAGGAATATTCACGTTAGATTTATAATAATAAATAGGTAGGCATGCTCCCAATATGGGAGGCATAATCCCCTTCCTTTGCGCCTTAGACTCTGCAGAGGGGAAAGGGATTATTAGGTTCACAGGCTAGCTCAGTTTCTACAGAGCTCACAGTCCCCATTTCAAGTCCAAAGCCCCTCTGGCCTCGAGTCCCAGGCTCCTCGGCTTTTCCAGGTTGGCTGACTGCACCGTCTAGCGTGCAATCCCAGCTCCAAGGATGACATTGGCTCCAGTTCCTGGGCCCTGAGCAGTGTTGGGGGCTGGGTGGAGAGGATGGGGATGGGGGGAGGGGAGCACCCTTAAGCACCTAAAAACTGAGGACAAACTCGCATAACACAAACACTCCCAAACCCATTTTTCAGAATCAAGTAAAAGAGGAAGGGCAGGGATGTCCTTCCCCTTTCGACAGTTCAGTTCTTGGCTCCTGTGGGTGAACTGAACTCTTAACCCTCTGGACTCAGCAGGAAAGAGGATAAACCAGAAAGAAACCAATCAAAGAAGATTACACCCACTTGAGTGGTCAGAAGGCAAAGGAGCCTCCAGGGCAGGTGCTCCCGGCGTGCTCAGCCAAGCCCCCATTCCAGTCACAAAACACACATTTTGAAGGCTTGTGCGGGGTATCCCAAAAGTCTTAGTGCAGTTTTAAGCTATTAAAACCACCGACTACATACGTACATATATCAAACATACATGCCCACATGCATGTATCCTGTAGATGAGTACAGCAGATGTATGCATGTAGCCACAGAAATACTCGCATGTGTGTTTATGTGTATGTGAATATTTGCTTATGCACACATACGTGTTGTTGTGCAGTCATGTCTGAGTCTTTGCGACCCCATTTGGGGTTTTCTTGGCGGAGATGCTGGAGTGGTTTTGCCATTTCCTTCTCCAGCTCCTTTTACAGATGAGGAAACTGAGGCTAACAGGGTTAAGTGACTTGTCCAGGGTCACAGAGTTGGTAAATGTTTGCGGCCAAATTTGAACTCGGGGCGGGGGGGGGGGGATGAGTCTTCCTGACTCCAGGCCCAGGGCTCTATCCACTGTACCACCTATCTGTCCAAACATGCATGTATGTGTGTCTATGTGCATCTATGTGCGTATGCACGTGTCTGTATATATACTAACAGAATACATGCATATGTACATACTTGGTAACATGGCACCTTCTACAAGGAATCCTTCTCCAGCCCCTCTCAATTACAGTGCCTTCTCTCTCAATCATTTCCTATTTATCCTGTTTATAGCTTATTTTATGTGTGCACATACACACATACATTTTTGGAGACTGTTTTTTGCATAAGGCCAACAAAGGGAATTTGTTTTACTTTAATATAACCTACATATTTCTTACAAGGATTTTTTCTTTTTCTTTTACTTCAGTTGGGGTAAGTGGTAGAAGAGCGAGAAAGGCGATTTCTATTTATTAAAAAATATAACATTTAATTTAAAAATAAAAATATTAAAAACGCTTTATTAAAAAGGTAGACTACATTTCCCACAATCCTTCGGGCTGCGGTATAGTCTTAGGATGAGACTCCGACTCCCAGAATCCATCCCGGGCGGGGGAAGCCTCTGCTGGTCATTCCCACCACATCCGGTTCCCGATGGATCTTGGGAATTGTAGTTCAGAGCTCACCGTGGACCAGCCCGTGGAGGTTTCTTGCTCTTCCGGTGTTGGCTCTGCTTTACGCCTGCAGAGCCGCAGGTGAGTGAGTGTCTCGAGTGTGCGCCGGTGTGTGGAGTGGGGTGGGGGCGTCCGGCCTCAGCCCCGCCTGCTGCAGGGGCGGGGTGGTGGTGCAAAGGGGGAGGCAGGCCCCTTCCTCAGATTCTTCTTCTGTCAATGGAGTGGGGAGGGGTCGGATGGTGCAGTGGAAAGAGCAGATCCTGCCCCCGTCACTCCCCTCCTATGGGGGGTTGGGCCCTGGAAGTTCAGCTTCCTTCCAAAGCCAGGGGGCGGAGATGAGGAGGGAGGGCACGCCAGGCAAGGGGCACAGCCTGAACAAAGGCACGGAGTGTGGAGATGGGGTTGGAGGTCTGTGAATCTCTGAGTGGGTGGGGAGTGAGGGAGTGAGGGGCCGGGGGCTCTTCCTGTTCATGACATCCCAAGTTGATTCTGGCCAGGAACCAAGAGAGACCCCGGGGGCATGGAGTAAAACCAAGCCTTTGGGGGTCTGCTGCTCAGAGATTTCCTTTGTTTTAGGAAGAAACAAGCATTTATGTAGTGCCTTCTGTATACCAGGCACCACTCTAAGCACTTTACAAATATTGTCTCATTTGATTCTCACAACAGCCTCCAGGTGTAGGTGCTGTTATTGTCACCCCTGTTTCACAATTGAATAAACTGAGGCAGGCAGAGGTTAAGTGACTTGTCCCAGGTTACAAGCTTGTTCTTCCTGTTGTTCAGTCATGCCCGACTCTGTGGCCCCATTTGGGGTTTTCTTGGCAATGATACTCGTTTCCTTCTCCAGCTCATTTGACAGATGAGAAAACTGAGGCAGACAGGGTTAAGTGACTTGCCCAGGGTCACACAGCTAGGAAGTGTCTGAGAGCAGATTTGAACTCAGGAAGATGAGTCCTCCTGACTCCAGGCCTGGCACTCAATCTACTGCCTCACACAATTGGAAAGTGGCTAAACTCAGGCCACAGGCTCCAAGCCCAGGCTCTAAGGGGAGGGACATAATACTTGCATACATAAATACACGATGTATACAGAATAAATACAATGTAATGGGGCGAAGGGCACTCGAAACTGAGGATCAGGTGGAGAGAAGGTGGTGTTTGAGCTGAGTTTTGGAGGAGGAGAGGCCAAAGGTCAGTTCCAGAGGGAGCCTTGGGGGGGGTGATGAGTGGACCCTGTTCTGGGGCTTCCGATGCTGGGCCTGGAGATTTGTGGGGCCAGCCGGCTGCTGGGCTGCTGAGGAGCTCACAGTCCAAGGGAAGACAGGCAGGGCATTGGACTAGGCAGAAAGCTGGGGGAGAAGTGCCTGGCCTCTAGGATGAGATGGGGGGCAGATCAGGAGGTGATCAGCCAGACAAGGAGAAGCAGATGCCTAGTGTTGGGATTGCTGGGGGTGGGGGAGGGATTTATTGGGAAATGAAGGGGATGTAGATACAAAAGACATCAGCGAAGAGTCAACAGAAAAACATTTGTTTCCTGAGCCATCGCTGGGAAACGCCTCTCCTCCACCTCTTCTTTAATTTCTTTTTCTTGTGTGTGGTGTGAAGGGTGGCTGTACATCCTATTTCTGCAAGGCTTGATTTACAGTTTTTGTCTTTTTGAAAATTCTGAACACAACACCACACACACACAATCAGCGTTTCCACATACAAAGGAGAATAAAATAAGGATTGTGCTGAACTCATAAATCTCTATTATATGGTTTGCTTCGTTATATAGTACATTCAACATGTGACTTAAACGCTTTAATTTTTTAATTTATTTCCAACATTCATGAATTTTTTTTTTAGATCCAAATTCTAACATGTCACTTTTCAAAGCTGTCTTGTTTATCTGTATTTTCTCCTGGTCTTTCTTTTCTTTTGTACATTGAAAAAAAAATAACTTCACTTTTTTTTTAAACAACCTTAATGCTAGTACGCTTCTGCCCTTAAACCTCCTTCTCCAAGATTAAAAAACGAGAAAAACAAAATCATTCCAACAGATAACACAACAAACTCACCTACATTTAGGTCTCATGCTCCACCTTGCCTCCATCCACACCTCTTTCAGGTGCTTCATCATTGATTCTCAGGAATAATAGTTGGTTATTACAGTGATCAGAGTTCTTAAGCCTTCCGAAGTTCATTTTCTTGACGGATTAGCCAGCTGAGGCGCAGAGATGGTAAGCCCAGGGTCACATAGTTGGTGAAGTGCATGAGGCAAGTTTCAAACTCAGGTCTTCTTGTCTCCATGTCTGATCCTCTATCCACTGGCTGTTGTCGTAGTCTCAGTTTTCTCATCTGTAAAATGGGAGTAATAATAGCTACCTCCCAAGATTGTTGTGAGCATCAAATGAAGAAATATGCAAAGTGGTTTGCAAACTTCAAAGTGGTATATAAATACTAGCTATTTTAAAAATTATTGTGCAATAATATTCCATTAATTCATTCAGTTCATGGTTTTTTTGGCCCTTCCCCTATGCATGGGTACCCCTTTATTTTCCAGCCCTTTGGCATTACAAAGAGTGCTATCATGAAAATTTTTGCAGATATTGGACCTTTGTTTCCATCTTGGACTTCCTGCATTATATACTAGAGTAGATGTGCCTTGTATATGGATTTCTTGGTCATAGGATGGAGAGTTGAGTTACTCTTCTTGTATAATTGCACATTGAAATCTGGAATGGTTAGACCACTTCTGATTACTGCATGGTCTCACGTTGGTTTCTCTTTCTGCAGCTGCATCTCTATTGACTTCCCACATTTTCCCATCTTTGGCATTTGTCATGGTGTGGAATGGAATCCCAGGGTTGCTCTATATAATATGCATTTCTCTGATGCTGAGTAGAACGTGTTTTGACATGGTCAAACATGGTTTGTACTTCTTTTGGAAACTGTTGGTATCCTTCAATTGCTTGTCTATCAGCAAGTGACTGTTGGTGTTAAAATACTGGTGTCAGTTCCCTAGACTTTGGTCTGTGGTAATTGAGCCTTTCAAAGCTTGTGGAAAGCTCACCAGTCCCAACTGCACATTCTTTCAGGAGGGAATTTCTCCTATTTGAACTTATCAAAGTTAGTGAGGTGCTTTCTAGCCATCTTCGTACTCCTCTGCTATTATGACTCGCTGTTAGCCATTTTCATTATTTCTTTTCTTGTCCAGGCGAGAGTTGTCTGCAAAGACTTCCGTAAATGGCTCCTTTACATATCCTGTCAGTAATTGAATGACTGGATGATTGGGTTACATAGAGAGCTTGGGTTATATACTCAATGTCATGCAGCGGCACCTTGGGGGAAGTTCTGGGAATTCAGCCAGGTCTTCTACTTTGCCTTATTGTCCCCCTGTCCTTTAAAACTTGCCAGGAGCAGAGGGAGAGCATCAGGGTCCAAGACACTGATGTCCATGGCCCTAGAAAAGATGGGCCCGTTAGAACCAAGGCGCTTGCACCCAGATAGCGTGGAGACGATTCTATCCTGGGAAGTTTGGGCGCTGCAGGGCAGAATTGGTCTTCTGGGTAATTTCTTTTTACTTTCCCAGTTCTGTCTTTTCAGGACTCTGGCTGAGAAGTGACACTCCAGGTGGAGGTGAGAATGACTTCTGGGATCCTCATAGCCGGGTCCCAGGTAAGTTATTTATTTTTCTTTTCTCCTCCAAAATGCCATCTTATTCCTAAAAGTATGGAATCTTCTTTCTCTTTTCCTCCACTTCTAAACCAAGTCACATCCGGGGACGTGAGTATCAGTTGTAATTTCCTAGAAGACACTGCTTGTCCTTATGTTCATCATACAGCTGCTGGAGCTCTTGTATTGTTGGGGTTGAGAGTTATCTTTAGACCGTGTGGTCCAGCCACCTAATGTGATACAGGACTTATCTGATACCCAGAGCTGATGCTTCTTTCTCAAGCTCACCAGTACACCTTGGGCTCCAACCTGGATGCCCCAACATCTGCCCATATTCTCTTCCTCTTGAGCCATGGTATGCAGTCTTCTGAGACTGGTCCCACCTGCCAGCAGCCTTCCCTCTCTCTCTCCTTCCTCCCAATCATTCTTTGAGCATACTGTTTGCTCCTTACCAAACAAAATGCTGTGAAGCAAGCAAACTTAAGCCAGAATTCTTATGCTTAGGTTTTTACACATATATGTAATATAAACATAGATATGAGCATATTTGTATCTATATTTTATTATATTTTTGTTGAGTGTTTCAGTCATGTTTGGCTCTTTATGACCCCATTTGGGGTATTCTTGGCAAAGATATTGGAATGGTTTGCCATTTCCTTCTCCAGCTCATTTTACAGATGAGGAAACTGAGGCAAACTGGATGAAGTGACTTGCCCAAGGTTTTATACCTAGTAGGTGTCTGAGGTCAGATTTGAACTCAGAAAGATGAATCTTCCTGACTAGGCCCAGCATTCTATCCACTGTGTCACCTAGCTACCCCATAATATATATGATATATTCTTTATACTTATATATATGGGCAAATCACTTAATCTTGTTTGCCTCAGTCTCCTCATCCATAACATGAGCTGGAGAAGGAAACGGCAAACCACTCCAGTATCTTTGCCAAGAAAATCCTTCTTTTTTTATCCTGGTTTTTATTGATTTATTTTTTATATCACCTTCAATTTACTCCCCTTCTTCATACCCAGCATCCGTCCCTTTGTATCAAATTCAGAAAAAAATAAAGAGAAAAAATAACCCTCCATCAAAACAAAAAGTGTTTCTTTGCAATGCCCATTCTCTATTCCATGCTCTTTTCCCTCTGGGGCCAAGGAGAATGAGTTTGATCCCCCTTCCACAGGATGGCCCTTCAGATATTTGGAAGCAGTTATCATATACCATCTTCTCTCCTTTGGGTGAGACAAACCCAGTTCATTCTGCCAATCATCTTAACATTTAGGTCTCTCACCCAATTATGTTCCCACTCCTCTAATTTGTTCCTAATTTGTGGAAACCACATCCAAGTCACCAGATATGGACTGACAAGAGGAAAGTTAGAAGGGGACTATCACAGCCCCAGAGCTGGACAAGTCCCTAGTTGCTCCAAGCAGTAGCCAACCAACAGTTCCCTCTACCAAGAAATGTCATTGAGGGTCAGCCAAAGTTATGAAAGAAGATAATACTAGATAAAAAATATCCTTTAATTTTAGGTAGAGGTAAGAGAAGCATCATGGTATAGGGAGTGGGTTCTAGACTCTGAAAGACAAAGGTGAGGTCTGAGTCCATCGTGCCACTATTAGTCAAGTGACCGTGGGCAAACAGAAACCTCAATGAGCCTCCCTCAGTCTCTTCATCTATAAAATGGGATAATAATTTTTATTACCCACCTCAAAGAAGAGAGGAGAACGTGGGGAGAAAAAAGGAGGGAGAGAAGGGAGGGAGGGAAGGAGAGAGAGAGGGGGAGGAAGAGAGAAAAAAGGGGAGAGAGAGAGAGGGAGAGAGGGAAAAAGGAAGAAAGAGAAAGAGGGAGGGGAAGGGAGAGAAAGATGAAAGAGAAAGAGAGAGAGAGAGAGAGAGAGAAAGATTTTTTCCCTCATTTATTCCACTTGTGGCCTGCCTTCAGAGTGATCAGCAGTAGAGAGTGACGGATGTGATGAATATAATATAGAAAGCTATGTGATAATTAAAGAGTGAAACGCATGCTTTGCTTAGGGTTGTGTGGGAAATGATTTGTAAGGCTGACCCTGGAACAGCAGTTATTTATAATGCATGAAGTGACTGGTCTAGAGCAAGGGACATGGTCAGTAGATTTTCCACACATCAGTCCTTGATGGGGAGCACTGTAGGCCCTCACCACCAGGCTCTCTGTGGGCCTGCTGGCTTTATACTTCTCTCCTGTGCCGTGTGAGGGCTGGCCCCTGGGGGAACAGGAACATTTTCTGACCTTTCAGAAATCACTAACATTCCAAGACGTGGCTGTGGACTTCACCCAGGAGGAATGGGGGCTGTTGGAACCTTCTCAGAAGGACCTGTTCAGGGACGTGATGCTGGAGAACTATGAGAACTTTGTGTCCCTGGGTAAGGATGGCTTTTCTCTCCTGAATCATTGGGCCATTGGAGGTGTCTTTGCATTCTCATTTCCTAAAAGTTGTGGGGTTTTGCAAGTGCTTTGTTTTGACTTGGTGTGCAGGGATACTCGTGTGAGTGTGTGTAATGTGGAAAGATTCCTAACTCCTTTGGTGTGAAGAGACATAGTATTTCTACTCACTTTTTCCAGATGAAGGGCGTTTGCTTTGTACATTTGGAAATGGCCACAACTTGCCTACCTGCTGTTTGTCCTGGTTATAGATTCTGCACCCAAGTTCTAATATAGCCCCTTGAAAAGTTCCTAGCCTCCTGGCAGGGAGTGTATTAAATGAATGTATTTTCTTAGAACCCAAATGAAACCCCATCATTCATTCCCCTCATGCTTGATGGGAACATGACCCTGAGCATCCTTCCAAGGTCCTTGCTTGATGCATCTCTTCTTTAAAATGAAAGAGGAAGAATAAGATTGACTTCTCAGATGTCTCTCTGTTCTTTGTCCTTTTCCAATCATTTCCCCATGAGCAGGACTTACCGAATCCAAAGCAGCTGTGATCTCCCAGTTGGAGAGAAGACAATCACTGGAGTTGCCAGATGGAAAAGTCCCAGGAAGCATTTTTGTAGGTGAGTGGGGGGATAAGAAACCAGAAATGTGGGTGTGATTGGGAGCAGCGGCTTTTTTCTGATGCCTGTTCTCTAGATCTCATCTTTTCCTGCCTTTTCTTGTGATAATTTTGTCCCCCTTAATGTCTCCCTCTTGAAACAGTCCTTTCCTTCTCTCTCAGATGTAGATGAGTCTCACCTATATGGAGAAGCTCAAGCCCATCGGTTGCCCCTAGTACCTGTTTTGTCTGCCTTCCACTTCATCTCTGTTCTTTGCCCAAATCCTGCAGACTAATGATTCTCACTCTTCATTTCCTCCAGCTTCTTTCCTTAAAATGCTGAAGTCTGCCCTTTCTTCCCTCTGCTTTATAGAAAATAATTATTAAGGTTACTCTTGGGGTAGCAAGGTCTGTTGTAGGGTTGTCTCAAAAGAAATCACAGACTCAGACCACCTCCAAACCAGGCAAAGGCATTTATTGAGGATTGTGCTCCCAGTGGGCTAGGCTCCTTAAAGGAAGCAGCAGTCTAGTAAGGCAAGACAGGGATTTTTATGGAGCGAATGATGCTATTAGCATAACAGAATATATGAATTTTAAAATACAGGAAGGGTTTGCTAATATGGGGAGGGCTCCTAGCCTTGGTGGAATTGTGCATGTGGCTACCCAGAATGCATGCAGAAAAGCCCACCCAGGAGGATTTAATGTATGATAATGATGCTGTAATAAGCCTCTCTACATCATAAGCTCACCTAAAGGACAGCTTTTGCTATTACTGCGCAGGCATCCATTTAGAGAAAGTACCTTCTGTGAGTTGGTGGCCAGGATCCCCCTCAGTATCCTGTTTGTGCTGCTTTCTTATTGGCTGGTTCTTGTGGTATGTCTAAACCTAGGTGGATGTGGTTGAGGTCATGTACACACCTGCTGTCTTAGTGAGGCATATGAGGAAGTTGGGAGATTGGGGCTGGGGGCAGTGGCTAGGATTCCAACAGTTACCACAGACTTTCTTAATACTGATTTTCAAACTAATGGCACTTTATGACTTACCAAATGCTTTTTTAACCTTCGAGGTGGGTAATAAAAATTATTATCCCATTTTATAGATGAAGAGAATGAGGGAGGCTCATTGAGGTTTCTGTTTGCCCATGGTCACCAGACTAATAGTGGCAGGATGGGCTCAAACCTCACCTTTGTCTTTCAGAGTGCAGAACCCACCCTCTATACCATGATGCTTCTCTTACCTCTATCTAAAATGAAAGGATATTTTTTTCTGGTATTACTCTCTTTCATAACTTTGGCTGACACTCAATGACATTTGTTAGTAGGGGGAACTTTTGGTTGGCTACCAGTTGGAGCTTCTGGGGACCTGTCCAGCTGTGGGACTGTGATAATCCCCTTCTAAATTTCCTCTTGTCAGACCATGTCTGGTGACCTGGGTGTGGCTTCTACAAATTAGGAACAAATTAAAGGAGTGGGAGCATAATTGGGAGTGGGAGACCTAAATGTCGACAGGATTGGCAGAACGAACTGGGTTTGTCTCACCCAAAGCAGAGAAGACTTTGTAGGGCGTATGATAACTGCCTCCAAATATTTGAAGGGCCATCCTGTGGAAGGGGGATCAAACTCATTCTCCTTGGCCCCAGAGGGAAAAGAGCATGGAATGGAGAATGGGCATTGCAAAGAAACACCTTTTGTTTTGTTGGAGGGACCACTTCCATTAATTAAGTTTCCTGTAAGCGGTGCACTGGACTGAGTCAAGAGATGGTGGTTTCTCCCCTAATGGAGTCCTTCAAACATTCTAGTTGACCACTGGTCAGCGACGTTGTGGAGCACAGACTTGGTTAGGTACAAGATTTGGCCTGACGTAAGGAAAAGTTTCCTACTGATCAGGTATCTGAGAGCGCACTAGCTTGCTGTTACTGGTAATCAGGCTACCCCTCATTTGAGGGCTCCAGGTGATGGCTAGATGACTGCCCTTCTGTCTTGTTTTGGGGGAGGCCCTTTCTCAGGAATGAGCAGGGCTCAAAGGTGTTGTTGCATCACTTCCATATGTGAGACGCTGTGATTTCCTTTCTTGATTTATTATCTCAATTTCCCTTCTACATATAGAACTGTCTCATCTCTGTCTTTTTAATCTCCTTTGTCTCCCCAACCCTTGCTCACCCGTTTTGTGTGTCCCTCCAAGAACTTCATTCCTCTCTGTCCTTCAGAGAGCTCCTCCAGTGTTCAGGCTTTGCTTGTCCTTTCTCTTCTCTCTCTCTCTCTACACTCTCTACCTTGGTGATTTCATCAGCTCTCATTGATTCACTTATTTATTTAAAATCATGCAGCTTAGCACACACAGTGCCTGGCGCAGAGTAGGCACTTAAGTGTTTATTGATGGATTTATCTGTGTAGATGGCTCCCAGATCCATGTTTCCAATTTTGATATCTCTTCTCCACTCCAGTCCCCTAGGCATCTGCCTCTGCCTGCCGGTTGTGTCATCCGCCTCTCTGGTCAGTATGTCCAAAATGGAACTTACCACCTTTCTGTATAAGCACACCTATTATCTGAATTTCCCTGTTTCTGTCGAGGGCACTGCCACACTTTTCAGCATTGGACTAGATTTGTAATATCAGTGCCACACCTGACCCTTTTTCTCTGTTTGCCCTGCAGTCAGTGAGCTGCCAAGCCTTGTCAGTTCTGTCTCCATGACTTCCCTTGCCTCCACTTAGGAGGCCTTGATCCCTTCAGGCACTAGAAGAACATTCTGCGTCATTGGCCCTCTGCCCTTCCCCCTTTCAGTCCATGCTGCACCTACTGCAGCAGTGATCTGACGGCACAGGGTTAAACATGGCACTCCCCTGTTCAAAGGCCTCTGGTTGGTTCTGGTTCCTTTAAGGGTAAAACATAGTTTTCTCACCTGGCTTTTAAAGACCTCCATAATCTGACTTCTCCTTTTCCATTCTGATTTCACATTATGCCACATCTTGAATTTTCTATTCAAATGGTCCTACTGCCCAGCATCTCCCACCTGTATGCATTTACCTCCTGCCTGGTAGACATTTCCTCCTTATCTCTGTCTCTTAGAATCCTTATCTTCTTTAATTTTTAGCTCAGGTGCCATTTACACAAAGCCCCAAAGTGTCTTTGCTTCCAAGGTAGCTGAATCTCTTCCCTCATCTGTTAAGGTATTTGTTGTTGTTTAATTATTTTTCAGTTGTGTCCAACTCTTCGCGACCCCATTTGGAGTTTTCTTGACAAAGATACTAGAGTGGTTTGCCATTTCCCTTTCCAACTCATTTTACAGATAAGGAAATTGAGGCAAACAGGGTTAAGTGGTTTGCCCACTGTCACACAGCTGAGGCTGGATTTGAGCTCGGATCTTCCTGATTTCAGGCCCAGTGTTCTATCCACTGCCCTACTTGGCTGCCCTTGAAGATTCTTTCCCCACTCAAACCATTTTAAAATGTACTTATGTATCCCCACAGTGGAAGGAAAGATTTTTGAGCTTAGGGACTATTTCTATTTTTCCTACTGTTTCTTGAGTGCCTCCACCCTGCCTTACAGAGAGTAGACACTTAATACACATTCATTGAATCAAATTGAGTAATTAGGAAATGATTTATCCAAAAGCAGGCACATGGTCTCGGGGTCCTCTTTGGATTTGAATAGGTAGCCTGTGAAGGGAGTGCTCTTGGCCCGGAGACTGCAAGAGAAAGGCATGGTGGGTCAGTGAGAAGTGTGGCCTCCCTGGAGTTAAAGGTGATTTTTTTGGGTGGTTTTTGCATGCCTTCCTGAGCCATTTGATATTGTGTAGCATGGGGACTCAACAGGAGGGGGAAAATAACAGGTTTTGAGCAGGGAAATACTTCGAAATTAATATTTTGAGGAAGATAAAGATTAGTTTTGTAGAGGGTTGATTGGAAGGGGAAGTAACCTGGCTCATCCATTAATTCAGTATAAGATGATAAAAGCCTGGATTCAGGACCGTGCCTGCTTTTCTTGGATCATTCTTTATCTTGTGATATTTCCTCTGATTCCCCATACTCTTATGTCAGTTGCTTTGGTGACCTTGTTTGTCTGCCAGCCTCCCTCACCAATGAGTTCTGCTCGTGCTTAGTGATCTCTGTCATCTCCTTAGATTTTAATTCCATGTTGGATGACTCTCAAAATTCTTCACATTTCTTGGCTCTTAAGTTAGGAAAATGGTGTCTTTCCCTCCCATTGGCAGTCCGGGAGCTTACCCCAGCCTAAGGACACATAAGGACAGGTGTCCTGTATTTGGAACATTCCCAAGGAAAGAGGAGACCGGGCTGGTGCAGATTCTTCATCCACACATCGCTCTTCTGGTATTTAGAGACAGTTGCCATGTATCTCCTGAGGCTTCTCTACTGAGCTAAGCATCCACAGCTCTTTTTACTAATCCTCACTGGGCACTGGGCATGATCTTGGGGTGCTTCCTCATCCTGGGTGACCTCCTTTGGATGCTCCCCAGTGCTGTCTCTTAGCAGTGGACTTCCTAAAATATTGTCCTCAGAACCGAACATACTGTTCCAGGATTGTTTTTGTCCACAGGGAGTACAGTGGAGCCATAAACCAACTTGTTCTGGACCTTAAGCCTTTTCGTGTAGCTGAAAGCAACTTAGTGATCTGGGTTTCCATGTTGGACTCTTGATGCAGTTTGCTCTTGGAACCCTTCAATTTTTATTTCAGTGAACTTTTTTTTGGGGGGGGCTATATCTCCCCCATCTTGTATGTATGATCCAAGTGTTGAATTTGATATTTCTCTATAATAAATTTAATGTCACTAGGTTGAATCCAGCATTCTTTGCCCAGGAAAGTTTTTTGGATCCTGACTCCGTCATTCAGTCTGTTGGGCGTCTCTCCTAGCTTTGTGTCATTTGCCATTGTGATAATCACGTTCCCTGTTCCTTCATACGAGTTAGTGTTCAGTAGCTCTAGGCCAAAGGGTGCACTCCCATTTGAGCAGTGTTCTCTGAACTTTTTCAATCATGCATCCTTATCAGTTTAAAAAAATGTTG